TGTTACAGTAACTCTATCAGCTTTATTCAGGGGCGGGAGAATTCCTATTACTTCACGGACAGCACAATATGATCAAGGTGGCGAACACCATGGTTAAACCAGACTTTTTATTTTTCCTGGGGTTCCTTTTTTTCTGAAGGAAAAGACTCATTTTATTTCATAAACCAGACTTAATAAAAACACAAAGCAATAACAGAGCTGTCTTCTGGTTGCTGTATCCTCCAGCCTTGATACTTATTTAAGACAGCAACTCCCTTCGTGTAGTGAATTTAGTCCTGGCTCAGCTTAGCAGAAATGGAAACATTAGCAAAAAAAAAAAAAAGTAAATTTTCCTCTTTTTTTCCCCTCCAGAAAGGCGCTGTCCGTTGTACAAAAGGCATCGGGGGGCTCTGGGTGAGACACAGGCTCAAACCCGAAAGTTGCCAGGTGCTTGCCAATATGTATTTTATTTCCCAATGATCAAACCCTGCATAGAGGCTGTACTGCCCCATCCTTCTCTCCATCCATCATTCATGGAGCAGTTTCCTAGAGGTTGGGGGAGCAGCATCCTTCAGGTTGCTGGAGGTAGCCAGAAGTTCAAAATTCCCTTTCATTTTGCTGTTCTGTGCATGTCAGAGAGACTGTGGTGACCCTGTACTCCTTCGTGGCGTGACGGTTTCTCTCTCCCCGCTTCCCCTTTTCTTTCTCCAGTTCCGGTTCCTCCCAAATCTGTCACTTCTTTGATGATGAATAAAGATGGCTTCCTGGGTGGAATTTCAGTCAATACCGGAGAGGTGTTTTGCTCTGTACCTGGCCGCTTGTCTTTGCTTAGTTCAACTTCAAAATATAAAGTAACTGTGGGAGAAGTTCAAAGACGCCTTTCTCCTCCAGAGTGTCTGAATGCATCCCTCCTAGGAGGAGTACTTAGAAGGTAAGAGGCTGGGGTGAGCGTGTTGAACATGCCCATGGGTGGGCAAACATGCATGCACCAGAAATATTTGGTCAACAGTTAAGATAACTGCAAATGTGCACTGATCTTGTTGTCAAAGCATTTGTGTGTAACGTTCAGGATGAGATGAAAACATATTTTATTCAGACATTGAGATGAATGGACGGAGACTAGAGAAAGATTCGGTCTTGCGTGTTTTCTATCAACGATTCTCAAAATTAAGGAACTGAGAGAAGATTTTCATTCTTGTATATGCACACACTTTCTATATTTTCTCCTTCTCCTCACACTTCTCTCTTAGAAAATGGACTGAATAAAATACTGTTGTGGACGTGTTGCAATTAGGTGCTGCAGGACGAACTGGATGTATTTCAGGACCTGATGCATTTTTAGAGATTTCCTAGATAAACACAGGAGACTTCCCCATATGACAATAAGGATAAGTCAATTATTAGCATGTCACAAAAGAGTATTGAAATTGGCAGGATGTTAATAGGCAACCTGTAAGGTAGGTAAATACTTGACTCAACAAAAGCTATCAACAAATAGTTGAAAGTCAGAAACTTAGTGCTTCATCTAGAGAAGGTTGCTAGAGGAATTACTCTCAGCTGGTCTTGAGGTCTTTACTCTTAAACATTTGTGCAAATTACCCAGTAATAACCTGGTGTGTTTTGCTGAAGACCTCCAAATAGTTTGCATTATTGGTACCGAGGAAAATAAGGGGCAAAAGATAACCTGGAAGCCTGGTTGCCACTCCATCATGTCAACGGAGGGATCGTTCATTTAGATACCAGCAACAACAATTTAAATTCCTAGGTCATCAATTGGAAAGACTACCAGTGAGAAAGGCCTTTATCTTCCTGACAGTGACTGAAGGACTGTGAATTGTCGGTATGTCTTGTGAGTAAGCAACGTGAACTAAGGGTCTATCTCTGATCAAAAGAGGGAAGAAGCCATGATATGGTATGAGGCAGCTGAGAGGGAATAAGACTTCATTTTCTACATGTGAGGTATATATCAGACTGGAAGTTAAGGCATAACTTCGAGGCAGGAACAAATGTATATAAACTAACATTGAATAAATTTCAGATCATGTTTTAAAGTTGATAATCTTTGAGGAGGAAACATATTGCCAGCTTCTGTAGTAGCAATTGGGCAACGTTGACTCTAAGTTGCTTTAAAATGTAGTTGTTATTCTTTATTTCCTGTGAAAAAAAAGATGCGTGATGATGTCAGGGACTCCAGCTCCATGTCTGAGGATGAGGGGGAAAGTCCTGGTGCATGCAGTCAGTCACCTAAAAATACACGTGAGAATTAAGGTATCTTAAAATAGATACTGTTCCACGTGAATTTCTGTAACCATTGTTCAGCTTCTGATCCTTGCCAGGGAAACGAGCAGAGACTTTTACTTAGACATGCTAACCCGCCTGCTCATTCTGTACAGCTACAAATGAAGCAGGGAGAACATCTCAGAGACACATGGTAGAAAATAGAATTATGAAGGTAAAGAAACATCATTATTGAACTTCAGTGGATTTCTGGAGATGGCCCAAGCCATAACCATTGGCTGCTGCTGACTTCAGTTCCTATCTTAAATCTAAATTTTGGACAAGCTTTTGGTTCAGAGCAGACCACATATAGGAAGCTGCTCTCAATTCTGCCACCAGCCAGTCTGGCTTCTCTGTTGTTTCTGGTTTCCTTTCGCTAAGCGCGACTACTAATTCTTAAACAAACTTAAGTAAGAGATGTCTGGGACAGACTTTGATTTTAGGTGCGAAAATTCTCCCTGATTTCGCAGGTGGCATCCCTAGGGGTTTACATATGTATAGGAGTCCGAACAATAGCTCTGTATTTCCCACCTATAGTTCACTCACCCTTTTATTGTCCTTATCAGCAACCTCCTACAGATATTCAGATCTTCCTCCAGGCAATCAGTTCCCTCTATATAAAGAACTCTGCCCTCAGGTGAGCTCTTCCTTTCAGCATCGCCTTTCCGCACAAGAACACACTCAAGTAATGGTTTAATAAATATTTTCCTCCTTTTCTATTTATCCACAGGCACACACATTCTCCCTTCGAGCCTTTCAGATTTTTTCCCCCCTCTCGTTCTTCTTCTCATTCCGTCTCTGTCCTGGAATAATTGAGGATTTAATTCTCCTCCTCTACCTTTCTGCCCATCTCCTCACTCCATCTTAATACGAGTTAGTGTCGTACAGTAGGAACCCATTTGCTCTCTAGATCGGAATCCTGTACATTAATTATTGCTATCTGCATTATTTGATTTCCCTGGATAAAATAGGGAGAAAAGTGAGTTCAATCCCACTCCCACCTCTGGGAGAAATTAATCAAATCTCAGCAAACCCAAGCAGAAAGCAACACACCCAAAGTCCTTAAGGTCGAGTGAAAAACCCTCCCAGGCTCCATTGACTGCACAGACTAAATGTTTCTTCCAGGAACACTGCGGAGTTAATCATGATGTTAATTTCTTTGCAATTCTAGAGCCAAATCGAAAAACGGGGGGAGATCTTTGCGAGAAAGGCTAGAAAAAATCGGTTTGAATTTACCAGCCGGCAGGCGTAAGGCCGCAAATGTCACTTTACTCACCTCCCTGGTGGAAGGTAAGCCGAGGGTCGCAGGTCCCTTCACACCCTTGCCTGCTCTGAACTTGTCTGACATTTCACGAAACAAACAAAAAAAACCCCACCCCAAACCCCAAAAAACCAAATAAATACATACATAAAAATAAAATCCACCAACTTTCGGGATCAGGTGGGAAAACCTTGCAGAGGTGAAATTCAGGGCGGGTTAGGATGAACACAGTACAGTTAAAGATCTCATTCCCCCCAAATTAAATCACTGTCTGGATGGTTATTGATCCCCCTTGGTGGCAGGGTTATGCACGTGTATGTATGTACGTTGTGTGCCTGTGTTTGTGCGTGTATGTGATTCTACAGGGCAGTCCCATTCCTCATTGCTACTAATTTCCAGGCTGTGCTCTCTGACTCCGCAGCTACTCCATCTCCAGCTAATTTGCTCCTCCCGAGCATATTTATGGCCACTACAGGACTTTCAATGAGGAAAAATAATACAGATATTTATTTATATACTTATTTTACGAAACCGGAGCAATTTAAGGGGCTCAGAGTGTGGTTTTCCTTCAGGTGGCTAGACCTGAACAAAGAGACAAGCTATTCTTGAGGAAGGAGAGAGGGAAGGAAAGACTAAAGTTTCACCTAAATTCAAGTCAACTAATGTCATTTTGGCTTTCGGCTTATTTCTTTGATTTATTGTTGCTGTACTGAAAAGTAAAATTTAGATCTGCTAATATGTTTAGGATATGTGCGTGTTTGTGCAAAGAGAACTTGGACCTTCTCCAAGAAAAGTAACCAGAGTAGTATGGATGCAATTATGAATTATATGTATCTGCACTACACATACACACCAAGAGGCGTATAAATAATCCACTTATCGCTTCTGCATATAGGCGTGCATAAACATTTGTGCTAAATATTAGCTTTCCAACTCTTCTGATTGAGTTATGTGAGCGATAAGACCTTACCGCATGCAGGGCTAAACACAGGCTAGCAAAGAGATGGGTAGGGGTTTGTTAGAAAAGATATATATATATGTAGGTAATGCCGAGAGTGCGAAGCATGGCACAGGTTACGGCTTTAAGGGTCGCGCTACAGGTGACGTGAAGCATTTCGGGTGTGACAACTGCCCTTAAACAAGCGGATTAGTGCAGCTTCACACCCTCTGCGTGTGTGAAAATCGGTGCACCCTACTCCCAGCAAAAAAAAAATCAGTCCTTCCCCGAAGCTCCCTTGAGATTCAAAAGCCTGTGCGGCCGCAGAGTGATGCTAAAAAGCTGCGTCAAGTGTGGGAAGCTGTACATTTACACCTCCTCTCCCCTGATTTCCTTACAAATCAACAGTTTACTTTGAGAAAGCTCCCTGCTTTTGGAAGAAGCTGCACCTGCTGTAGCTTTTATCTTCTTTTCTGCCACCAGCCAGGCTTTAGCGTGGCTTCTATTGTATCGCCGAGAGCAGAAAGGCTCCGGCCGGTCCCGGCCAGGATTACCCGAACGGCCCCCGGGGGAACCCTGCGCGGCGCGAGGTGACCGCGACAGGGACTCCCCGGGCTCCGCCGGGTGCCCTCCCTTACATTAAGGGGTTTGGTCATTAGAGAAAAGCCTTGGAAAGCAGAAAACATTAGAAAGCAACTCCTGATCGTTAAAAATAACTTGATCCTGGAGTTATTAGACGTATCTGATTTGCGTGTTGGAAATCTTCCCCCGGTCCCTTAGGCGGTGCTTTAAAGGGTTTAATGCTCTATTCTAGAGGGGTTGAGATATAATCTGGTAGAATCCCCCTAGAGTCTGAGGGCTGTTTTGGTTTTTGGGTCTTTTTTCCTCCCCCTCTTCTTTTCCTCCTTTCTGCAGCTACTGTCTTCTTCTTGTGGCATGAAGCACATCAGTAGGAGTTGGATGACACGAACCTCTGGAGGCAAGAAACCTGAAACCAGGCAGGCAGGAAAAGTGACAATTAGAATTAGAATAATTATTATTTTTTTTTTCACAGAAAACTTTGCCGTTGGTTGCTAGCTTTCCACCCGGCAAAGATGATTTCCTGTTGCATGATGGTCAGTTAAGAAAGCAGATTAATAATTTTCATCGGACAAAACACAGTTATCTCCAGCTTTTTACAGATGTGGGGATACTTGTGATGATGACTAAAGCCCTCTGTGTGTGAAAAAAAAAAAGAGTGCCTATGATGTAATACAAAGAACTAACATTAATATTATGACCATATCTGTAAAATTTTGGACGCTGCTCTGATGTATTGAAACAGGAATGATTTCTCTGCTCTTAGGAGAAGTTTGGGTCCTTTTGTCTTTCGGGATTTCACCAGTTTGCCCTCCCCTCCCTTTTTTTTTTGGCCCAGTTAATTAGGAAGTGTATGTGTGTGTGTGCATCTATGTGTGTGTGATTTTACGTGTGTACTTTTCCCACAGTTCTGCATAATCAGCTGCTTGGGAACAAACCATCACAAGTGCACTATAGCAAAAGTCAATCTCCTCAGCTGAAAATCTGTCCCATCAACTTAGTTTTCTCCCGAAGGAGGGCTTGTGCAGGGAAAACTTATACCTGGAGCCTGTCCCTAAGGTGCAAGGCATGTTAAAAGATTTCTAAACACGGCCCGAAGGAGATGGTCTCTCCCGGAGGGAGCGGTGGGCAGCTGCCGCACGGTGCCTCGGCAGATCGGAGCCAGCCCAGCCTGGGGCCGGCGGTGCCCGGAGGTATTAAAGCCCTTCTCCTTCTCTCCAGGTGAGGCCGTTCACTTAGCTCGGGATTTTGGGTACATCTGCGAAACGGAGTTCCCTGCCAAAGCTGTTTCTGAGTACCTGAACAGACAGCACACGGACCCCAGCGACCTCCACTCCAGGAAAAACATGCTGCTTGCTACAAAGTGAGTGCGAAGCTGACTGCCCTCTCCCCTTCTGCCTTCCCCCGAGAAAACCCTCGCTCTCCTTAAACCCTTCATCTGAGCTCGTTTTGAAAGCAGACGAGATTTCCAGTCCTTAAATTAAAACAATCTCGCGGAGAGGAGGGATGGGCAGGGTAGACCCCTTAGTGTCTGCTTCCCTCCACAGGGGGGTTTCTGACAATACACCCTGTCCCTATAGAGGGTGTAGGTGACTGTCCCCTAGCTAATGTGCATCCTTTCCTAGCCACCTCTAGTTAAAAAAAAATCTTTGTGGGAAGGGAAACAAAATTCTGTATTTTGCATCCACAGCATGTCTGTGCTGCTCACACACACTTGTTTGTCTGCTATCAAATTGCAATGCCTTTTTCCATGTGGTTTAATAAAACAAAATAAATTTTAAAAAAATGAAAGAAAAAAGAAGATAAATCCCATCTCCATGTCCTCCTAACGATCCTCGGTTTTGTCCCCCCCAACCCATCCCACCCTCGGGACTTGGTGGATGTGCTGTATGTGATGAAATGCACTTGGCTGTGACTCCCAGGGTACTAAATGGGTGCTTCATAGTTTTCTCGTGTCCTCAGCAGTGGGTGCTGTCTGTCACCACACATCTTCATCTATCCAGCGAAAAAAAAAAAAGGAAAAAAAAAGAAGGAATAAGAAAGAAAAAAATAACAGCCCAAACAGTTCTCATTTATTTCATGCTCTGGGACGTGGCTTGCCTCCGATGACAGTGTAATTTAAAGAAATATATGGAGGGTTGAAAAATCATTTGCTCAAATTTGTCCAGATGTTTTTTAGACGTGATTGGAATTTGATTGCCCTTTTCCGCAGGGTCAGAAGATATTAATGTCCCAGAACTTTAATTGCTCACAGACCTGCTTTGCTCTTTGAAGATGTAAAATGTTGGACTCTTTACTGTTTGTTCTCCAAATTCAAAGTTTCCTCTCTTGCACTTTCTTAATGGATAATACACATAGAAGTAGACCTTTATCTTTCCCCGCCCTCTGAAACCTTTAACCCACTGGGAATTTCAGACAATTTCAGAGGATGAGAGCTGATTTTTTTTTTTTTTTAATTCTGGACTTTTTTTCTCCAGTCCCTAGGTAGGCATCTTTCTCAAAGAAATTATTCCTTTGGGAACCTCACCAGCCCTCAAGGTTTCTATGGTGCCCAGACACCTGTTGACTTGAAGGCCTTTTGGACCAGAGCAATGCAAAAGAAAATGTGTGTGTGTATTCATCAGAAAAATTTGATTTTTCAAAGGTGCAGGCAAACAAACAATAGTCAGATGTCAACTCTGTTGTGTTAATTGGGATGTTACCCTCCCAAACTGAAACAGGAAAAGCTAGCTTTACTCCTTATATGATGAATAAGACAGCATGAAATCTCAAAGTGCTGATTTTTCTCAACAAGGTGGCCCAGTCTGACAGTTCTCAGAGTAAGCTCGGTTTTGGTGTTCTCCTGTTCATCCAGGAGCTCTCAGTGCATGGCTGTGCTTTCCTCCATGAACAGCACTCCTGGGAGCTGCTTTGTCTTGCGGGGGTCAGGCTTCCAGGAAGACGAGTGGTTGGCAGACCCATGGTGCATCATCTCCCTTTCAGCCAGGATATTTCACAGTGGGTTTTCACAGTGCTGCAGAACTGTAGAATCATTTAGTTTGGAAAAGGCCTTTAAGATTGAGTCCAACTGCTAACATAGCACCATCAGGTCCACTACAAAACCATGTCCCTAAGCACTACATCAACACATCTTTAAAATAGTTTCAGGGATGGTGACCCAACCACTTCCCTGAGCAGCCTGTTACAATGCTTGACAACTGGTTTACTGAAGAATTTTTTCCTAATATCCAATCTAAACCTCCCTGGAAGCATCCTTGTGGCTGTGGGAAAGATTTCTATCTCTAGATCTGGTATTATCCTGCAGCTGCAGAAACTTCTTATTTGAAGAACATCAGCCTGAGGAGGAAGCTACTGGGTCTCCATGGCTTGTCCCTTGAGCACTGTGGGGGAAAAGAAGGTGATGCAAAGGTCCTGTCCTGGGTCTTGGGAACAGCTTTGGTCTAAACCTGCCCCCTCCTTCAACCTCGGTTGTTTCTGAGAAGTGTGAGATGAGCCTAACCACTGTTTTCTCCCCCCTCCTTCCCCTCTTTGCCTTTCTTTCTTCTGTGCAGGCAACTTTGTAAAGAATTTACAGATCTCTTGGCCCAGGACAGGACGCCCATTGGAAACAGTCGGCCCACCCCTATTTTGGAACCGGGCATTCAGAGCTGCTTGACTCACTTCAGCCTCATCACTCATGGCTTTGGGGCCCCCGCTATCTGCGCTGCCCTCACGGCCCTTCAAAACTACCTGACTGAAGCTCTCAAAGGCATGGACAAGATGTTCTTGAACAACAACACTGCTAACAGGCACACATCTGGCGAAGGACCAGGTAGTAAAACTGGAGACAAGGAAGAGAAACACAGAAAATGAGAGAGAGAGAGAGAGAGAGAGAAAGAGGAAAAAAAAAAAGAAAGGAAAAGAAAAAAGTTAAATAAACAAAAGGAGAAAAGAAAGAGAGATAATCCTTTAAAACAAAACCGTCTTAATTTTAGCTTTAAAAATATTGGATTGGGCTTTGGAAGAATTTTATTAGGTAGAACAAAATAATAAAAATAATAATAATAATAATAAAAGA